CCTACATCTGCGGCGAAGAGACAGCTTTGATTGAATCCATTGAAGGCAAGCAGGGAAAGCCACGTTTGAAGCCCCCATTCCCCGCTGATGTTGGTGTCTTCGGTTGTCCAACGACAGTCACCAATGTTGAAACCGTCGCAGTATCTCCTGTAAGGATACAACACTCTTCAGTTATGTATTATTATAATTGAAAATATTCCCTTTTTAGGCGATCTGTCGTAGAGGTGGCACCTGGTTTGCCTCATTCGGCAGGACCCGTAACTCAGGCACAAAGCTTTTCAATATCTCCGGTCATGTCAATACGCCATGCACCGTTGAAGAAGAAATGAGTATTCCTTTGAAAGAGTTGATCGAGAGACACGCTGGTGGTGTAACTGGAGGTTGGGATAATCTGTTGGCCATTATTCCCGGTGGCTCTTCTACACCTCTTATCCCAAAAAGGTAATTACAATTATAAAAAAAAATTGAGTTGTATTAATCTAGAATTTCATTTTTAGTGTTTGCGATGATGCCATCATGGACTTCGATGGTTTGGTCGCCGCACAGACCAGTTTGGGTACCGCTGCCATTATTGTGATGAATAAGCAAACCGATATCGTTAAAGCTATTGCTCGTCTAATTATGTTCTACAAACACGAATCATGCGGTCAATGCACACCGTGCAGAGAAGGTGATTTTGATAATGGCATTGCTTTCAATGTTTGATTAACATGTTTCTTTAAAATTTGCAGGTATTAACTGGATGAACAAAATCATGTACAGATTCGTTGACGGTAACGCGAAACCCGACGAAATCGACATGCTGTGGGAGTTGAGCAAGCAAATCGAAGGACACACGATCTGCGCTTTGGGTGATGGTGCTGCTTGGCCGGTGCAGGGTCTCATCAGGCATTTCAGGCCTGAGTTGGAAGAGAGGATGAGGAACTTCCATTGCAAACAGAAGAGCGCGTCCTCCAATTAGAAACAATTAATAAACGATGTTATATAAATAATGAAAACATAATATATTTAAAGACGATTTTAAAAGTTTTCCCCCCCGATTCGCTGCAAACTAAGTTCTATGATTTATTTAAATATAGATGTCCTGTAATTTTGTATAGTTGCCTAAGAGTCAAGATTAACACCCGAACTTGCAAAAAAAAACCGAAATCATTTTGTATATACATTACTTCCTTCAATAAAATGAAAATTGAAGAGCACATTACTTTTTTAAGGTTTGCACCCCAACTGCAATTTAAAGATATGCGTTGTTTTTATATTACATGCATTTTCTTCAATCATAGATGGCAGACTTTAAAATGTCTTATTCATATTAAACTGCAATATTTTCTTTAATATCAATAAAAATAAAATGTCTTTTCATTAAGTAATTGAGATTGGCTTCGTAAGCAACTATTTTCTATTTCAACATAAATCGATTTTTACAGTTTGGCAGTTTTTGTACTAACTGACTTTCGACAATATTACTATATATAATATTCCTAAAAGATGTCTTGTTGTAATATGTATATATCACAAATCCCAATCCAATTTGATAAGAATTGTTTCTATTTATTCCTAAGAGACAAAAATGAAGTGCGTCTTATAGTCCGGAGAAGTCTACTTCCGTAACAAAAAATAACATTAAATAATTGAATATGGATATTTCAGTTGGCGGTGAACATTGGAAGAAGTTCAACTTTTTATTTTTGTCCAATTGAAATTGTGCTGTTCACTGTAACGGCCTACTCTCGTCGAATTAAAATAATGATTAGTATTTAGTATTGCAAAACCGCATATGATATGTATTTCATGTAGTTCAAATGTCCATTAATGGACTGGTGCGAGGTAATGCTGAGTGGGTTTAAAATAATCATACACCAATTATAATAAATTATTTATTAAATTATTTAAAGAACTGCTTAGTTCTTCGTTTCAATTAATAGCTTAGTAATGCATTAACAGTAAGTGTCGTCGCCTCCCCATCAACGAAATTAAACTAATATTTACGTAACGGCGTTTAATTAATGTTAGATATTGAGATTTGCGGACGTTTCTATTCGTACGTTTATTTATTATTGACTTTATGGAAATAATCAGCAGTTTTAAAAACGGATCGTAGACTTATTATTAGTTATGGTGAAGTTAATAATTCCGCGTCCACTTTTTATTATTAATAGTCGTAATCACCTGAAGTCGCCAGGCAATCCGTTACTACTTACTACAGCAGCGCAGACGGCGTACGTCTGGTTAAAATGAATTGATACAGCTGCGAATAATTCATTATTTCTTCTCCAAAGTATACAATTCAGTAGCTTAATTATTTTATCACCAAAATTACAAAAAAAAAGCAGCTTCCGGTTACAACAAACGAATATTCTAAACTTTCGTGATTGTATATCAATTCTATTCAACTTAATAAATGTACAGTGGAACCTCGCTTAACGAGTTTAATCTCTTCCAAAATTTACAGATTTTTACCCGTATACTGAAACATATTAAAAAAGTACACAAGTTTTAAAAATGATATAGAAGGCGCACAAACCGGGACTTCTCTTCTCATAGTCACTCGTTATGCGAAACGTCGCTCGTTAAGCGAGTCATTTACAGTATATACAATTTTATTATAACATTTTCTAAATAACTACAACATATTTTACAAAGTATTTATGCGATGTTCGCTTCTTAAACTGTACACTTTTAAATAATTCAGCTATTACCATTCCACCCCATTATTACGTTAAATATTTTATGCGAAATTTTGTACTTTAATAGTTTCCACCTTGACCCATAATAACACGTTACGAAAATTGTACAGCCCGACGCATAATTTTCGTGGCAGCAAATGAAGGATAAAATTTATTTTAACACTGTTTTACTTACATCCAAGTACAACAGGAAACGAATGCATAATCATAATCTCAGAAACAGTTTCCTAATCTGGATTCGACGTACTTGCACAACATGTATAACATTTTTTAGCGTCACGCTAATTGTTGCCAAATTTCGCAGTCGAAACAGTGTTTATCTATGAGGCAAAAAAAAACTTTTCGTAAGACTCCTCCCGGACGTTTTCACACGAAATCGCTTCGATAAGTCCGAGGTGATAAATGAAGCAAATGCACATCATTCGCCTCACATGTTATTACACAAATATAACGGTAGATAATGATAATAATATGCGAAATTCTACTGGAAGTTCTTGATAACGAAAATAATTGGATTTAATGGAACGTGCATATTTGCAGTTCGATTTGTTGCAACTCCACTTTTCATATTTACATTCAACATTGCGTAACCCGGCAATAGTCACATTTATAATTTCGTTTCGACATTATTTTTTTTCCTCTCTCGTTCTGCAATATTCACAAGTTCGGTTTTTTTTCGTCGCTGCTCTCTGTCAATGGAAATTCATTGTTTGTACATGTTCCGAAATATTCAAATGCCTTTTAAAATTAGCAATTTGGAAATCGTTGCGCCAAACTTGTTTTAGGCGATGTCTACTACATTGCGAGAAGACGGTGTATTGTTTGTACAGTGCAACTCAAATCGATACGCTTGACATAATTAAAGGCAATGGCATTGACTCTAAAGTCATCATCTTCTCATAGAAATGAATTGGAGGTAAAAGAGAAAAAAACAACAAGTAAGCCTTTCGTAGCATTGAAAACTTATGCTGGACTATATTGGGAGCCAGGCCAAGGGGAAGGCCATGAAATTAGCAAGTCCGTGACATTTATTCTCGTTTTTTCTTTTTGCTTCATCTCTGTTAACAATAAACCGAAGCATAAAAGACTCGTTTTTTTCTCTCAGATTTAAATTTATAGAATGGCAAACGCTCGTTATCGGAATCTTGTTAATGACTTTGCCGTGTATATAACGTATTTTTTATTTGCGCAAATACATCATTTCGTTTCATCACTCATTCGAGACGCTCAGACACGTCCAACTCTTTTATTATTTATAGTATTTTCATTCCTCCGAAGCTTTTTTTTTTCCTTCTCCTTTCATCTTCTCTCTGTCTCTCTCTATATATATAAATGTATTCGAATGCAAATGTAAAATGGCCCGTTAAAGTCTCGTAAAATTGTGCGGACAAATCGCAATATATTTAGTGGCATTGTGCAAGGATTGTTATGAAACTGGACGATAATTTTCGAGTTAATGCGTTTACATTTATTTATTTATTTTTTTATGAACGCTGCGCTTTATTTTACGATGTCCAGCCAGGATCCTATTTGCGACACACGTCCTTTTGCAATCGAAATTATTAATTATTTCAGACATGCGCGAATCTGTTGAGAGTATTTTTGAGCGCTTTGGAATCTGCGCAATGCACATACACACACACACACAAACTAGCAAAAGATATGTGTTATTATGTAATGCAGTATTTATTTAATTTGACATTTAAAATATTATTATTCAACATTTGTGTCTGATGCATTCCGCGAACGGGACGGAAAGGAAAAGGCTCTAGTCCAAGGGTTCTCATACTTTCACGATCCGCTGGTTTTGATGGTCGATAGACCACTAGGTCTTCAATTCAAACAATTTTATAACTTACATATAAATATTGGGTGAAATAAAAAGTTATCTTTATTTCGACGGTGAAATTAACAAAGTTAGAATTTTCTGATTTAAATCAAATATGCGCTGTTTTGTTCGATAAGTTTTGTCCATTTTGAAGGCAATTTCATAATTTTGCGATTGAAGAAATCCTCGTCTTTATTGGTAAAAAACTTGACCAGCTCATTTTCACAAGCCTCTATTGAAGCCTCTATTGAAGTTTTTTACCATCAAGAAAATTTTTGCAAATGATTGAAAAGGTCTGAGCTATACTTCTGGTGCGTCTTTAAAGATGTGTACGGCCTGGCGATGTCTTGATGGAACACAAAACCCTTCCTATTGGCCAATTCTGGACACTTCTCGTCAAGCGTCTGCTTCAATCTGGTCAGTTGTTGACAGTACAGGTACGAATTGATTGATTGGCCCGATGGGAGCAGCTAAAAGTGGAGAATTTCCTTCCAATCCCACCAAATACACAGCAAAACCTTCTTTGGGCTTGGTGATTGTTCGGGCGGCTCACAGCGGTTGGACCACGATCTTTTTCGTCTGTTGTTCTCGTATGTGACCCATTTTTCATCGCCAGTCACCAAATGGGTCAAAAATGGTTCGATTTGGTTACGTTTCAGCAAATAATTGCAGGCATCAATTCTCTCCAAAAGCTTCTTGTTCATCGAACTTCTTCTTGAGACCAGCCCTATGCAAATGGTTTCAACCAGTTTCTGGCTAATCTTCAGTTCCTGGACAATGTAATAAGTACTCGCATGCCGGTCCAACTCGACGATTTTCATGATTTTATCAACATTTTCGACGATTGGCCTACCAAAGCATGTCTCATCTTCGACGTCAATATTAGCAGATCGGAAGCATTGGAACTAACGTTTTGCTGTTGCATTCGATATTGTTTTGGGTCCATAAACAACACATTTTTTTTTGGCCGTCTGCTATGCTTTTCTTTGTGGTACTGAAGAATGTATCGAATTTTCTCTTTTTTTACCTCAATTTTGGAACGCTCTAACACACAACTGGATTCACAAAATACAAAACTATCAAAGAACTTTTTCTAAAGCGTTATGTCGCCTTTAAGTCGCAGTAAAGAATGATAAGATGCAACTTATACATCGTGAGATATAGCTCACCAAAGCCATGTAACGAAAAAGGCTCAGAACTCTTTACTTCACCCAATATTTAGAACGTTAACAGTATAAATCTTTTATTTATTTCAAAATAACAACTTCAAATAGTTGTTAAGACAAATTGTTGTAAAATATCTGTAGAATAATGCATTAATTTAATACATTATTAGTTTAAAGATGAAAGTAACAATTTTCAAATTAATTAGACTTCCAAATTTCAATCAGTTATTCTCATTGATAAAACAATGTAATAAAGTCAAATATTTGACAATATCTGTATGAAATGTCAGTATGGAAAGGCGACACGTAATTAAAGAAGCAACAAATTGAAATTAAACTTAAGAAACTCTAGTAAAGGTTATGTCATAAGTATCGCAATTTTCAATTGTTTTCTAAAGTAATTCCAAAACGTACTTGGATTTATGGCATCAGCATGTATGGAACGACTAGTTAATCGAACACAGTAATTAAGTAAATGGTTCGAATTATTAACACAAGGTATAATAAAAATAATAAGATAATATATATAATTTAAGAATAACTTGGTTCTTTGTTGTTAACAGTATAATAATAATAATATAATTAACATAGTACCGTACAAAATAAGAAAGTGAAACATGTATTTAACAAGAACCATTTATGAATGAGCTATTTAATGATGTAATTGCGTCATTAGATCTCGTACTATCGTTGGGAAAAGCCATAAAACCATTCAAATTGCCAATTTCTTTGGAAAAAAAAAATAGTACTATGAGTAATAGAAATCAATATTTTCTTCAAAGCTGTTTGCTTTTCCTAGCTGAATCAGAATATTCTGGAAAACGTGATTTTCAAGAAATATTTCATTATACATTTACATATCATTATTAATAACTAAACGTACAATTGTATAGTTGCTTACAATTGTAACTGATTGATACTGATTTGATATTTGAGCTTTAAATTATAGCTTCTTGTAAGAATAGTTGTTTATTTGTAATAAAATTAGTAAATATGAAGATCTAAATATTTAAATTACATTTTATATGATATATCCATGAAATTGTATCTTTATTGATATAACATTTTAATTTACAACTTGTAAAAACGCATTTATCATGTTGATGCGTTAAAAAAACTTATGTTTCTATTCCATGTTTACACCTAAGATGTATCGAATTTCCGGTTTAGGGATAACAGGTATTTTCGTGATTCGAAATAAAGCAGAACATCTAAAGGAAACAGGTGCTGTTAGCAAGCATCCTGCCCTGTTCCTAAACCCAGGCGACACTATCTATGTTTATACACACATCTTTTGTAAGCCACACGAAAAGCGGTCTCGTGTTTGGCCAACGTTTACTACTTACTGCTCGATTAGATCGTAACACGTAAAACCGAATATGGGTTCGCATAAGGTCGGGTCAAGGTGCGAGACATCGAAATTTAGTCCATCGCTTAATATTTTAGCACCAGTATTTCGACAATAGTTTTAACTACGACCAATCATTTGCATTATGCATGTTGTTTTTTTTTTCTTTTTAAATAAAGAATTAATATAATTAATTGCGCTCTCAATATCTTATCGTGTAATATTTCTCTGTTCATAATGCAATTGCTTTATCAACAATTTGTCCCAGTTCTGTTACAATGCACAATTCGTATGAATCCAATAAAACTCGTTTCGCATTGTAACACAATCAAAATTAAGTCCGCTTTGTTTTCAAACGTAATCGGAGCAGATTTCATCCATAATTTTACTTTATTATGCGTAAAATTTGTTCCACTTTACGAATAATAAATTGATAGGAAATTAGTTTAAAAAATAACGTTAACATTGTTACTTTTATTGAACTTCAGCGTTTGTGTTCTTGTTGGATGTAAATGAAAAAATAATGGTTTGATTCAATGAAGGTTACATGAAGAGCAAAATATTTCAAACATTCGAATTATCCCTGAACGCAATTATCAATGTAACCTTCAGACATTTGCGGATTTAAGTTCGATTATTGCACTTTCCTCACTACGCTTTTTCTCTTCTTTTCGTCTGTACAATATTCTTTTGTATCCTGTTCGTTTACCACCTGCCCCGAGAAACTTCTCATTCCAGTAATTTGATTAAAATATGCACAAAGAAACGATAATAGCTTCGATCATAATTATAATTCTACCACGCATATTGCTTGTAACACGATGAGATTGCATAATAATAAATATGAATTATTGAAGAAAACTGAAATATGTGTAACTAATTATAAAAAAAATCTATTGGGGATCGATAAAAAAAAAAGTAATAAGTTTTTCAATGAAATCTTTAATTCTGTAATAAAATTGCAATAAAATTGATTAAATCAAGAATCAAGAACAAGAATTAATTCAACTACAGGAGTATTTTGAGATTAAAATCAAATTTCAATTTTGCCAAATTTTGGAATTTCAAATATCTTCGAAACATTATTTTTCCATTATGCTAATTCTCAGTTATTATTAAAAAATAATAACAAGAAATTTCTTGATATTTAATATCTAGTCTATTTGTGTATCTAATTTTCGTTAAGTTAAAAATGATCGTTAAGAAGTTCTTCTCTGACACGTTGAAAAAACTTTGTAAATACTCCAAAAAAATATCGAGATAAGTTAAATTGTGAATCGAAATATATGTATTTCTCTGTTTAATTTAATACGAAAGAAATGGAGAACGGTAAAGTGTTAACAGGAAGAAACGAAGTGGAACAAGCGAAAGTGCTTTCTATTGGTCAGATGTTTTGTCATGCCTTAATAGATCTTAAGGATCGCAAAGGGTCTTCATACCAATCAATCATTAAATACATGGAGGCTAACTATTTGTTCGACTATCAGAAGAAGTCTTTCCTGATGAAGCGGTTCTTAAAAGGAGCGGTGGAGTCCGGAGCTGTAACGCAGGTCAGAGGTAAAGGAGCTACCGGTTCCTTTAAACTACCCAAAGGATCCATGTTACTTGACGAGAAAAAGAAAACCGCAGCAAAGAAGAAGATGTTGAAGAAAACGAAAAAAAAAACCGATAAGGATGTTGATGAAGGTTCTAAAATGGATACAGAGGAAGTAAAACCAAAAGCAGCGCCCAAAAAGAAAACTACCAATAAACCATCCACTGCAGACATAAAATCTCCATCGAAAGTTACGAATACTGTAAACGAGGAAAAGACGGTAAAGCCTAAACTAAAAGCGACTCGTAAAGTTAAACCTAAGGCCGAAGCAAAGGATGAGAAGAAACCTAAAGTTGATAAGATTAAAACTGTAGCTGCTAAAGACGTTGCAACCAAAACTACTTCCGAAGGAAACAAAGTGGAGAAGAAGAAACCTACAGTTGCTAAAGTTAAAAAAGTAGCTGCTAAAAACGTTGCAATCACAACTACTCCCGAAGAAATCCAACCGGAGAAGATGAAACCTACAGTTAATAAGGGTAAAAAAGTAGTTACTGAAGATGTTGCAATCAAAACTACTTCTGAAGAAATCGAACCGGAGACGAAGAAACCTACAGTTGCTAAGGCTAAAAAAGTAGCTGCTAAAAACGTTGCAAACACAAATACTCCCGAAGAAATCCAACCGGAGAAGATGAAACCTGCAGTTGATAAGGGTAACAAAGTAGCTACTGAAGTTGTTGCAATCAAAACTACTTCTGAAGAAATCAAACCGGAGACGAAGAAACCTACAGTTACTAAGGGTAAACAAGTAGCTGCTAAAGACGTTGAAATTACAGTAACAACGAAGGCGAAGCCCAAAAAGAAGATTACAGTTATTGAAATCAATACTTCAGAAGTGCTCAAGAAGAAAGCAGAGTCTCCGGATAAACGAAAAGCAAAATTTAAGAAAATTAATTAAAATAATAGTTTAGATGAATTGTTTGTTATTTGTGATAACTTGTTTCGAGATTTTATTTTCATTGATTATAGTTTAGATATATATAAATGTTAATGTTTTGTGATTTGAACGAATAAGATGAATTTGTATATTTGCAAATTAAATTAAGATTAATTAGTAAAAACTGGTTGCATCAATATGTAAGCATTAAGTGTATGGGTCAAATACTTAGTTTTATTATTGTATTGAGCTCTTTTTATTTGGTAAAGGAAGGTATATTTTCTTGTCTGTTGTAATTTATATAGACTTGTTAATATCCTTTTAGGTTTATAGTATTAAAATAAAACCTAATTTTTAACTTAATTTATGTGCGTTCATCTATATAATAAAGACAATAATTTAAGTGGAATTCGTTAAGCGTTTACTAAATGTTTATATTAAATTATTTTTCGGTTGATGTTATTCTTTAAAATGCGAGTTAGTATGAGATTTTACACTGATTATTTTGCTAACAATAAGAAAAAAAAATTGCAAATATTTGACGTGATACTTTTTAGATTTTATAAAAATAATATCCAGATAAGTTAAATTCTGAATTGGAATATATATTTCCATGTTTAGTTTAATACGAAAGAACTGGCGTAGTGTTAGGTACTCAAGTGTTAACAGAAAGGAACAAGATGGTACGAGAGGAAAAGCTTAATACTGCTGAGATTGACTAATTTGCTCAGCAATTTTAAGCTTTTTTTGCTCGTACTTTCTTCTATCTTCGTGGTCGCAAACAGACAGAGCTGAAACAAGGAGTTGGAAGAAAACAGAGATAAAATTGATGGATGTTGATGGAAATTCTTAAATGGAAACAGAAGAAGCTGAAGTGATGGTGGAATCAACACCAACTCGCAAAAAGATATCAACCACTGCAGACGTAAAAGCAACAAAATCTATAAACGAGCAAATGACTTTAGGTCTCGTGCACTCTACCTTTACGAAACGTAAATGTAGAGGTAGAGGACAAGAAACCGAAAGTCGTTACATGCGAATATCCTACAAAGAACGACAACTCCAAGGAAGAAAAATACAGTTAATGAAAACAATACTCCTGCAAAGTAACCATAAAATTATATTTTCTTCAACATTTCAGCATTTTTTTTTTAAATTTTGTACCGTATTATAAATAAAAGTTTTTTTCATACACTACTTTCAATTTACCATCTGCAAAACATATCCTTTCCTTTGTATTAAATTAGTAGTCTTATTGAGTTTACGTTTTTACAGCAATAATTTAATATATATCCAAAATTAGTGTAATTACAACAATAAATCTTCAAATATTGACTCAGGGCGACTAATAGCCGAATGGTTAAGTCACCCTACCCACGAGCTAGTGAGCGCAGGTTCAAATCCAGGTCAAGCCAGGCCCTTTGTGAGCCCTCTCAGTGCTTGCAGCAATAGGGCCATCGTTCGTCACAAATGGACAGTGAAATTAATGAGGTTCAGCATATGAATCTTCAGCCAAGTCGATGGACAATGACAATGTTAAGGATATCACCAGATTCACACTAAATAGGAAATAGTGGAATAGCAGAGCATCAATATACAACTGAAGTTAACCTACATGACAACAGCCAACTAACAAATTAAAGATACTTAATATCAACCGCGATCTTAAATTTACTCAATGTTCACTTCACTGTTGATGAACACTCCAATAACTGATATTAATTACAATTAGAGAGAAACTTTTTCGGATATTTTTAATATTTTTTAGTTTAGAGATCTAAACATAAGAGGATATATGTATAAAGAACATCGAAAAACATCAAAAATCATATTAACTTAAAGTGTAAGTAAATTTTAGAAAATATTATTTACATATTTTTCTATTAAAAGATGTGAAATTTATCAGTTTGTTACAAAAAACGGTACACAACATAAATCTGAGAGTAGGCTCATTAGAAAGGCGATAGTTTTGTTTTTAATTTGCATGTTCTATGATCTAATTGCAGTGAGTACTTATCAAGTAATTAGATAAAAGGTGAATACACTGGATTTGAGCACTATAAAGCAAATTTTTCAAAGAAATTGTTTATTGTATAAGTATTAAGTTCATCGAAGCGATTATTGTTTTCATATTTAAGTTCGACTGGGCAAACTTGAGAGAAACACTGAATACGTTAAGGACATAGTAAATACAGGAGATTTTGTTAATCTGTGGGCAAACAGAAGGAATTTGGGTATCAATAACCCGAAACGAAGATACGCATTCGGCGTAAAGCACCTACCAAAATACAAACAATGGTTGTTAATGTATCTCTGAACCTTTCCTCCTTTCTTTCAGTGTTATTTAACATTTCAATTTATATGTAATTCAATATAAAAATCTCGATTTTAGCATCCAAATTATAGTTATACAAGAAATTATCAATGCATTAAATTCTATTGTTCGAATAAGATATTTTCAATAAAGCAAATGAAATTCATTGTGATAACAGATAACAGCAAGTAACGGTACACTTTTTTTTTGTTCAATAGAATCTATAAATGCTAATGCAATGTTTAAATAATATAAGTAGGCTATCATTTCATCTCAGAAGTGACGATTACAACGAAAATAAATTGTAAATGTTCATTTGTTTAAGCATATTGTTATGAAAGGAGTTCAAATAAGGAGTACAGCTGCGCTCTTTAACAAACAAAAAGAAAAGAAAAAACAAGCCGATACGGTTTTTTGTTCAGATCTTTCTATTCTCACCACGTTTTGTTGTTATTGTTGTTATTGTTATTTGTTGCATGTTTTTCTTGTTAACATTTCGAAGCAAACTGCAGATTGGTTATCTTGTTTGTGCGGGGTGGATGAATGCACGGTAGCCGTTTTCGGTAACAAAATAGTTGTACGTTCGTTTCTTTTGTTGGGTTGACCAGGTAAAGAGTTTTAATTGGAATCGGGCTGATTTACACCCCGCGCCTTAACTTATTGGTTTGACGCAGAGTGCTTATGATGGTATAGGCGAGATTAGGAGAAGGAAAAGTAAAAAAATAAAATAATGGAGCGGGTTAGATAATCGTGTCCGTTCACAGGTATTTGCTCGTTTCTTCCAAACGATTCCCCGAATTCGAAGACATTTTCCTTAACTTACGTAAACAGATACGCAAGCGAGACAAAGGACGGGCGCGCGATAGCGAAAGCGCACAAAGGAAAATCGTAATTAATTTACAGTTGATTGCAAAAAAATAAAAATAAAAATAAATGGAGAATTCAATCTTTGTGCACTGTGATACAAGTGTGCGAGGCATTGCTCAATGTGGACTTGCATCACTCGCTCGGACTGATATTATATTGAGTAACATTATACCTGTCAAGGTTAACAATATGAATATTAAATAAATCTACGAAATGAGGAGATCGAGAGAGAGAGAGACAAAGCTGCATGCAATACGGCCATTCTTCTGAATCAACTCTATTTATAATAATAATTACTATGAAATTAATATAAAAAAAACTCTATTAATTAGACGCCAAACCGAAACTTGAACAGTAACCATTCTGAGGCTGTGCGCATTCAATTGAAATTCTCTCTACAACAACAACAACAAAAAGAATCATTTTAAAATTCGCACACGCCGCTCCGAAATGCACCGTTAAACAGGTTCATAAAGCGTCTTAAGTTTATAAGTCATACAGATTTTGGGTGTGTTATGAATCCGAGCCGAAGACGGGAGAGAAGGAAAGAAAAAAAAACGTGAAACTTGTTGTACAATTGCACTTGATACATGCATTACTGGATTAAACCGGGTTGCCTGCCTGCGGGCATTTTAATTGACGCAATAAACAAAAGGCTCTATGAGACTGAAGTTTTCGGCGATATCTTGTTTATATATCGAATCTTTTATCTCCTCAACACACACACAAAAAACTGCTTAAGATCTTTGTTTATTTGTTGTTTACGTATTGAACTCATCGGAGCGAACTCTTGTTTTCATATTTAAGTTCGGCTCGGCGAATTCGAGGGAAAATACTCGATTTGCGAAGGAAAACCACCGTAAATGCTTGGGTGGATTTGTTTAATCTGTGGGCAAACAGTAGGCATTTCTTTCTTTTTTTTTGGTATCAATAACCAGAAGCGTTATGTAAACAATACGCCTTCGGCGTAGCACATCTACTGAAGGAGTAATAGTCTTAGCAGAGATTATGTAGCATTCACTGCGAGCACAATGACTCGTTTCATCATCGCACCTCCGTAGGGTTTATCTCGTCTTATCTGTGCGATTCATTTCCTTATAACATTTTCAGTTTGATCTGTACAATGTGTGAAAACTATGCAAGTAATTCCTGGTATTCGATTGGTTTAATATTTCAAAAAGCCGCCGACTTAGATATTTAAAATGTAAGAAACAAACAAAAAAAATGTACATAAATCATTACAATGAACAATTAGTTAAATAATTGAAGCATACTTAATAATTACCATAAAATTAACTAATTATGTTCTTCTGTGGATGAGTTTCATTTTTAATGATCACTATTGTAAAACTCAAAATTATTATGTGCAGTCTCTTTAATTACGCGTTCTTTCTTACAAGCATTGTACGAGTATATGCACGTGTGTACTATCATTCATAATTCCACGAATAACTAGTGCTCACTGTTGAATGATTCAATTAACTTTCGACAAAAGAATGCGTGGTTGATGATCTCAATCGACGTGCAAGATATAAGTATGTAAACAATTTCGTTTATTGAATAATCATTATCATCACTTTATTGTCTAATTCCAGAGCTGAAAGATCTCTAAGATTTCTTGTTTATCAAAAAGACTGCGATTAAATTAAGGTCAATAACAATTATTAAGTAAAAGATATTACATTCAAATTAACAGAATATTTTAAGTAAATTATTAATCCTAATAAGTATCAATTTATACTGTAATTAAACAATACTTGTAGTCTGAATGCTACTAATTTAATAACAATAATAACGTCCATGTATTTCCCAGTCTTTGTTATTGTCATTCTCTTGAATTTATTCCATGAATCGATTGTGTTAATTAAAATAATTATTTCATTATCTCTTATAAACACAGAATGACTTCTTGTTGGCTGGTATGTTGATGAATCATCTTAAGCGGAAGATTTCAATGTATAAAATATTATTGTATTATAAGAATTGAATAATCTTATATTACATTTTTCCATTAAACGAGTAATGTATATCATTATTAATTGTAATCTCAGTATTGAACAATTAGTATAAAATTCTTCTATGATTTGTTGAAAATACCGAAATGTTATCATTGCGGTTCATGAATTCTGAGAAAGTCAAGTTTATTTTTCGTTATTATAGATTTAATCATTTCTTAAAGTTTGTTAAG